GGAGATTTGTTTATGATCAGAAAGAAATGCAAGAAAAGAAAGGGGGAAGAAGGGTGGGAAAGAGAATGTTTATCCAGTCCCCGACCGAGTTACATTTTCTCACAATTCACATTGGCGGATCTGGGGAGGGGCGCCATCGGTCCTGACCCCTCCCTTGGGCCAAAAAAAAGGGAAGAAAAAGAATTCTAGACCTACCTTTTCAGGACCTGTGAGCTGATTTTTTTTTTTTTTTTTTTTTTTTTTTTTACACTTAAGAAAATGAAACATTTTTAAGAACATAAAAATTCATTAAAGCACAATTCAAATGTCCAAAAAACTCATTTCCCGCCATCTAGGAATCACAATTTTCCCGGGGGAGAACCCCCGGACCAACCTTTCTTGTTGGGATTTATCGATTCATGGAAAAAAGAATACGCATGTAACTACTCATTTGTTTATGTATACACACATAAAATAAAAAATGAGAAAAATTTACCTGACCGTTTTCAAGAGGGGAAACCCTTGAATGAGGGGAAAGTAATTAAAAGACACCTCAAAAGTCGGGAAAACTAATTTCCGCCTTCCAAAAAACTCATTTCCCGCCATCTAGGAATCACAATTTTCCCGGGGGAGAACCCCCGGACCAACCTTTCTTGTTGGGATTTATCGATTCATGGAAAAAAGAATACGCATGTAACTACTCATTTGTTTATGTATACACACATAAAATAAAAAATGAGAAAAATTTACCTGACCGTTTTCAAGAGGGGAAAACCTTGAATTTTGAAGAAATTAAAAAGTCATTTATAAATGACATTTCAGAAGTCAGGAAAGCTCATTTCCCGCCATCTAGAAATCGAAATTTTCCCGGGAGAACCCGGACCCCCTTTTTCTTTGGTGTTATTGATTCATTGAATCATTTTCAAGAGGGGGAAAACCTTGAATTTTGAAGAACTTAAAAGTAATTAAAAGACACCTCAGAAGTCAGGAAGCTCATTTCCCGCCTTCTAGGAATCAAAATATTTTTTGGGGATTTATCGACTCATGGAAAAAGAAATTCGTATGCAACTACTCATTTTTTTAATGTATATATACACACATAGGCCTAAGGTCTATCTACTGTAATAACAATGGAAAAAAAAATTACCTGACCGTTTTCAAGAGGGGAAAACCTTGAATTTTGAAGAACTTAAATTGAAGTCGCTATTAAAAGATACTTCAGAAGTCTGGAAAGCTTATTTCCCACCATTTAAAAATCAACATTTTCCCGGGGAGAACCTGAACCTCTCTTTTCTCTTTGGGTTCATTGATTCATTATAATAATTTTCAAGAGGGGAAAACCTTGAATTTTTAAGAACTTAAAAGTAACTACAAGACACCTCAAAAGCCAGGAAAACTAATTTCTGCCTTCTAGGAATCAAAATTTTCCCGGGGGAGAATCCCAGACCCCCCTTTCTTTTTGGGATTTATCGATTCATGGAAAAAATCGTATGCAACTACTCATTTTTTTTTTTTTTATGTATGTATACACACATAAGGCCTATTTTTACTGTAAAAGCAATGGGAAAAAATTACCTGACCATTTTCAAGAGGGGAAAACCTTGAATTTTGAAGAACTTAAAAGTAATTAAGACACTTCAGAAGTCGGAAAAGCTCATTTCACGCCATCTAGGAATCAAAATTTTCCCGGGAGAGAACCCCCGACCCCCCTTTTTTGGGGGTTTATCGACTCATGGAAAAAAATCGTATGCAACTACTCAATTTTGTTTTATGTATGTACACACACATAAGGCATAGGCCTATCTACTGTAATAACAATGGGGAAAATTTACCTGACCGTTTTCAAGAGGGGAAAACCTTGAATTTTGAAGAACTTAAATTAAAGTCGCTAAAAGATATAATACTTCAGAAGTCGGGAAAGCTCATTTCCCACCATTTAAAAATTAACATTTTCCCGGGGAGAACCTGAACCTCCCTTTTCTCTTTGGGTTTATTGATTCATTATAATAATTTTCAAGAGGGGAAAACCTTGAATTTTGACGAACTTAAAAGTAATTAAAAGACACCTCAAAAGTCGGGAAAACTAATTTCCGCCTTCTAGGAATCAAAATTTTCCCGGGGCAGAAGCCCAGACCCCCCCCCCCTTTTCTTTTTGGGATTTATCGCTTCATGGGGAAAAATCGTATGCAACTACTATTTATTTTTTTTATATTTTTATGTATGTATACACTCATAAGGCCTATTTACTGTAAAAGCAATGGGAAAAATTACCTGACCATTTTTAAGAGGGGAAAACCTTGAATTTTGAAGAACTTAAAAGTAATTAAGACACCTAAGAAGTTGGAAAAGCTCATTTCCCGCCATCTAGGAATCAAAATTTTCCCGGGGGAGAACCCGGACCCCCTTTTCTTGGAGCTTATCGATTCATTGAAAAAAGAATACGTAGGCCTACGCAACTACTCATTTTTTTATGTATGTTTACACACATATCTGGCCTATTTATAAGAATGAGAAAATTTACCTGACCGTTTTCAAGAGGCGGGAAAACCTTGATTTTTGAAGAACAAAGTCATTCGACAACTAGCTCAAAAGTCGAGAAAAGTCATTTCCCGCCATCTAGAAATCAAAATTTTCCCGGGGGAGGACCCTGACCCCCTAGATTTGATTCCAGATCTGCATGATTTTATATTCCCATTCATCTTATAAGTGGGCCCCCCCCCCCACTTTGGAAAACGTTCCGCCGGCCCTGTAAAGAACCCATGGCATTTTTCGGAAGAGTAGGGGTACTACCCCAACCCTTGTCATTGGCGCCACTGCTGCTGTGGAACCCACTGTTTGAAACTTTTAGATTTCTTGTGGAAAAATCTTTGGCACAGCCACTGGAGACCATCTTTAATAATATATCAGATTAACCAATGAAACTGATTCCCCAGGTTGGTGATTTTTTTTTTTTTGGTATATAAACCGTGTAAAGAGGACAGAAGCTGACATCAGTTGTCCAGTTCATAGGAACACCTACAGTGGATCTACTACCCCTAGATTACTTCTTCAAAGTCATCTGTGACTCAACATGTCAATTTTTCCATTTCTCAGCTCTGGAAGAAGAAAACAACACAGGTATCAGCCCCGTCACGCAGCATAATGACCCACCATGGCGTACAGAACGGTAAAGGTCCAACCCAATACCAAGGACTGGAAAGTGGACTAATTAAATGTTACAACTATTAGGCAGACAGTCAAGGAATATGTGGAAGTTGGAAAAAGTTTGATATTTCACCCAGTTAGATGTTCAATTTAAACTGAATAATACCATATATTCTCACATATAAGACAAGGCTTAAAATAGCAAATTACTATAAAAAAAAAGGGGGGGGGGTTCATTTTATATGCTTAACACATAGCAATTTTTTTATATTTAAATCATGTTCGTCTTATGTGTGGATCGTCTATAACATACAAATTTACTTCTGAAATGAAGCCACTAACTGTTATTATGAAAGAACACAATTAATGTGGTGAAATAAGGTTTTGATGAACCCATAAAATGGTACAACCATATTTAGAAGATTGGTCCTACATTTGGCTCCGTTTTTAGCCAGCTAGGTGCAGTATCTAGACCATAAAAGGCAGCAAAAAGTAGGAATTCCGACAATGAAACAAAGGGTTGTCCTATACGCCACACATAAAAAATTGTCCAGAAATCTTACCAAGCTCTGGGGCGTTTGATACGCGGATCGTCTTATATGTGAGTATATACGGTCGTATATGGCCTGATATGAAAAGTTTTGACAGTACTGTAATAATAAAATGTTCACCAGTGTAGATTTATGTTATAGCTTGCAGAATCAGTTGTAGCACTTTACTCATGATTCAGTCAGGCTTCACTTATTTGTCACAAAGGGCTTATTCATTACATTTCTAAAAATCTATTATGGTGGTTTTAAAGTTACTGTAGATTCGTAGAAGTGATTAGTGGGTGTGTAGTTTGGTTAATGGCATGTATTTTAATATTATTAGCCATTCCAAGAGTTTACAGCCTCTGTTAACTAGATATTCTACTCAGCATTTTTAATTATACATCTCATTTTATACTGTATTTGTAAATTGATATACTATTAATCTAAAAATGTATGCCTGTTAAAATTGCCTTTAAAAAAAAAATCTCTTATGAACTGCCTTCTTAGTAGTCCTCTTTTTGAAATGGAGAGTTTTATTACACAATGTGTGTATAAAAAATATCAACTAGGACTCAATTTATTGGGAAAAATGATTGATTGACAGAAATCATGGTTTATGGTATATCAGTTTATATTAATTGTGTTTTATTTAAACTGTTTAAACAATTGATAGATTTAATGTTTAATGGAAATTCGCTGTAAATAATACAAGTGCAATTTTTGGGCACGAAATCTTTATTCAGCTAAAGATAAACTGTTTTCTCTTTTTTTCCCATCATTATTTAGGATGTAGTGTCGTGCTATAAGGTTATTAACTTTTCAAATCAGCATGGAGTTGAATAGTCCAGTGGTTAAAATGCTTGCCTTCTGATTCCAGAATCGTGGGTTCAATTCCTGTCAGCTGGAATGTTTCTCAAGACTAAAAACAACTCCACTCTTTTTATGAGGCTTAGTTTATAAAGCATCATTCTCATTCTGTTAACTGGCGAGTGTACATGCTGTTGGATGTGAGGGAAGTGAACAAAAAAAAAACATGCATTTGTGAGACTCACATATCCCTGGCCCAGTTCCTATTGTCAGTTGTTATACTGATTGACACTCTGGAAAGGTCAATTGCTGTAATCTGGATCTCATTAAAAGTTAAAACCCTGTTGATCCTTCTTAACATGCAGATGGTTTTTGTTTAAATTATTTTTTAAAGTTTTCTTCATACATTTTCCTCATAGACAGTACATATTAAGGTCATTGGTACTATTTTAAATAAATATATGTTTCATGTTTTTACAAATTTTAAATGCATGTAATTTTCTCAAGTTATGTCAAGCATCTGATTTGTTAATTGTATAGACCAATGTGTTCTAATAAACTACCTTAAGTCTGAGTTGGCTTTTTAAATTTAGAAAAATTGCGAATGGTAATGGTAAATGGTCTGTATTATTGAATAACACACCTAAATAGATCCTTGTCATTTGATTGTTGGATTTCGTGTCACATGACATTGGTTATTTACCCCATTTTGTCACCACTCATGGAAATTTAGTTGCACTGTTCATTTTTACTTCCATCCATGTATTTTCGTTCCATCCATTTCGCTCCATCGCACGGCGGCTGACTTCAACCTAATATAATCTTTTGATTGGTTAAAAAGATGCTGGACTGTTCCATTTAGTAAAAGGGTAGATTTCCATAAAATATCTAATGACAAAAATCTCTATTCAGAAAAAAATTGATTTTTTTTTTCCCCATAAAATATCAAATGACAAGAATCTATTTTAGGTGTGGTTATAAAACAAATAATGAATGTTTTTTATTCGCTCAATGGACAGAATATTTTTATTTGTTGAAAGATTGACTGAATTCCATTCATCTGGACTCTGCCTCGTCGAATGGAACAGTTAATCTTTCTACTCATGAAAATATTCTTCCCATTGCACTCATAAACATTCGTTATTTCTATAATGATTATTTAATGAGTGGCTGTTGAAATGGAATTACAATAATATATTTGGTTGAAACTTTTTTTTATTATTTTGTAGTTTATTGTTGACTATCAATTTATCTGTCTAAAAAAAATAAATGTGAATGGCTTATAATGTAGATAAAAATACAGATCTTTACGATCTTTCAAGATATGAGTATTTTTATCATTGGATCATCTATTTTATTATTGCATTAATAAATTTGGTTGAAACAATTTCATTTGTTTCCGTAGTTTATTGTCATGGTTATCAATTTATCCCTGTAGCAAACCAAAAATCCATTTAGCAAACATAAATTAAATTAGCATAAAATATTCAAATAAATATCAATAAAATATATTTCAAAATATATAATTATATGTGTTAAAAATCATCAATGACATCAGTCAAAAGTTGATAAGATAAAAACATTAAAAATACAATAAAAATTGAAATACAAGATTGCAGCATATGGAACTTATTTTGTTACAGTCGAACAGTACTGTAATTATAATTCAATTAAATGAAGTGTATAAATGTATGGTAAAGTGCTCGAGTCACGCAGGTGGATGTAATTGTTTTCAAAGCCATTTTCTATTTTTCGACTGACGACAATAGCAGGTTCACTCTGTAGTCAAAATGGCTTCCAAGATTGCACGAGCGGCGAATATACTCTCTAAACTTTCTTCAAAACCAGCAGTTGTAAGATATTATGCATTAAATTTAATATTTTAATAATAAATATTGAAACATTATTATTTATAAATAAATACAGTTACAGCTTATATCAATAAGTGACCTTTTTCTAGGCTAAAATGTTAACCGGGTTCGTCGGCGGAGGGCCAGCCTAGGCTAGGCTAACAGTGCAGAACTGTAGTCTAGGCCCCTATCTATGCCTAGATAGGTTGCTGTACCTAGGTCCTAAGTGGGAGTACAGTTATAGATGTTCTAATCCCAGGAGCTCAAAATTCGAGAGACGGAAAGTGTGCTGGAGAAGGTCGCCACTTTTCCCCTTCCCAAAGTTAAGTCGGGCCTAGACTCTAGGCTAGAGTTAAGTCGGGCCTAGGGTAGGCTAGCCGGTTTCGGCTAGCCTAGCTAGGCCTAGTAGTAGTGGGTGCAGGTCAACTCGGCCCTTAATTAACCAACTCGGACTAGGCTAGGCCATGGCCTGAGTTAAGAAAAAAAAACGTGTTTGGATTTACGTAAAACATCAGAACAATATCCACGGCTTTTTAAAATTTGAATTTAAAATCTTTTGATAAGAAAGTATAATACATACTCCAAGTATTGAAATACACGCCATCGTGTTGGGATTCAAAAAAAAAATCTTTTGATGTGTTCAAAGTAACGCTGATCATGATCATAAAAATAAGGCCACGGGAATGAAAGTTGTAGGTTTGCGTCCACTGCCCGCATGCCTAAAAAGCTACCGCACGAAAATTTTCATTATTTTGAAAAGTTCATTATTTTGAAAAAAAATATAATTCGTTTTAAAAAACGGACTTTCTAAGTCGTAAACAGACAGAAAAATGATCTATTCATCACTGATCACTCGTCGCGAACACTGAGCGAAGGCAGGCCTGGCCACATCGCACCATGATCGCCGATCACTGCTGGGTTCATTTACGGGTCAAATCGATCTTTCTGACCAATAGGAAATCTTGTATGTTTAAAGAGGTCTTAAATGTAGAAAAGGATCTGTTTTATAGGCTAGTGTACATTTATGACTGTAAGAAGAGACAGACAGAGGGATCACTAAACATTGTTTCTTGGGAATAAATGTAAAATTACCAATGCCGCGGCTTGTGGACAGCATTTATAAAAAAAATAATGAAAAATGAAAAAATGCCTCATGTGTTTTCAAAATTTTTCGGATGCAAACCTACAACTTTCATTCTCGTGGCCTAAGGCGTATGCTGACATTATTATTTTTAGTGAGTGCACAAAGAAGAAATTCAAAGAAATACTAAAAATTTAATTGCTAACAAAAATGAAACTAATTAGGCCTAACAATTTACTGGTGTTTTGGGGTTCTTTTTTTGGGAGACCCTTCCTTGATTGCATTAGTGTTGCTATATTTCCAGTACTGATTTATTTCGAGTAATGCACTTGTCAATTGTAGGGCGCCTCCCCTCCCCCCTTGGACCCGGGCCTAACGGGGACTTAGCCTTGGGTTTAATTTCCGAAACGGTCACATGCATGTGAAAGTCCGGGCCACTTCTGGCAATGCGGGGCATCGTTTTAACGTACGTACATACCTAGCTAAGTCCCCACCACTTACCACCATTGTCCCGGTAAAATGCCCCGCTAATATAAATGATTGGATGATAACACCTACTGTACTTGAAGATTTAGCCTAGGTCTGAATCGGAGAAGCGCATGAGGGCTAGGCAGGAGCTAGGCCAGGAGATGAGCTTGCTTGATGGAAGCACTACGCATGTGTATCACTAAGCAGATATTTCCATGGAAGTTTGGAAAAGTGTGAAAAAAAAGGAGTGTATTGACAGATTGATCATAGAAAAATAAAGTAATTGATTGATTGATAGGGTTTAATTATTCAATATCAAAACAGAAATGAGACCTAAATGAGAAAATGAATACATGTTAATAGAAACAGATTTCCTTTCCTCGGCTCATGTACTGGCGTATTTTTGACGCAAACTAGGTCAAATTCATGGTTCACTAATGTTCATGTAACACACTCACACACGCCGCCATCTCTGTACTCGGTGTTGTGTGGTTGGAGGTTCAAATTTTACCGGTAGGCGATTTTTAAATAATTACCAAAACACACAGTAGTTGCTGACTGAATGCCTAAGGTAGGACCAGACCCGGTTTGACGTCACTAGGCCTACACACGAAACCATGGCTACTCCGTAACGTGTAAAATTCCCGGCTCTTTCGAGGCCTGAAACATCTATAAGTAAATTTTAGGTTCTCTCCCGGTGCTACAGGAACACAACTATGTGTACGTCCCCGGCTCAATCCCAACTAGCGCCCCTCTAAGGCTGTCTCTTATACACATCTAGATGTGTATAAGAGACAGGTGCATAACACCATGGATACTGTCTACCACAAAAATCTGAAGAAGACTTTTTTCCAGTGGAGGTGATTAGGCAGTACACCGGGAGGCGATCTAGTACTCTCTTCTGAAGAGTGCACTGCATTTTTATTAACGTGCACACGGGCCATAATGCTTAAGTGTCTCATCTGAAAGGCGGTACGCTCTCGTAATTTGCATTTCAGCCCTCCAGCTGAAATACAATAAGAGCAGCGATGGGAAGTGAACCGTGGACCAAAAGATAGCCACAGCTCAGCACACACGCAGTGGCTACCACCAGTTTAGCCGACTGAGCTAAGCTATTCTCTAAAATTTACCACAAAATAAAACCAATATAATATTTTTTAATATTATATATTTTATTATTTTATATTAAGAATTCCATATTTTTACTATGCCTAGGTTGTATTTTTTGGAATATAATATTATTGCCAATGTGAATAATAAACAAGAATCATTTTTTACATTTATATTAAAAGTTACCAGCCTCTGCTATCAATTGTCGAAGATTCCGAAGCACTCAAGCATCTTACCAACAGACATTAGTAAATGTCCCAGAGACAAAGGTTACCACTTTAGACAATGGGTTCCGTGTAGCAACCGAAGATAATGGCACATCAACTTGCACGGTAAGCACTATTATTAGGATCAAATTATGGAATATATTTTAGTAGTAACGATGATGCAAAATACAGATTGTGGTTAAAGAGAAAGAGGAGGTCACATTTCAATATTTGTTGCTATATTTTTACATAACAGTGAAAATACAAATTCATTCAATTAATATAAGCATCTTTCTCAATTAATTTTATGATTTGTTTATACAACATTTCCCCCAAATTTGAACTGTACGTAGTTACCAGTCTTGTTACCAGTGTGTGTTTGTGCTGTGACCGATACACAACTTTCTTGTTGTAGTAAGTCTAGGCTAGTAGACAAAATGCCAAAACGAAAAAAAAAAACATTTTCCTATTTTGAGGAGCAATATTTTTACTGCAAGGCAAAGAAAAATAAACCTTTTAACTCTACAGCCATTCCTATTCAGGGGACACCCTATTACAGGTTAATAAGGGTTCTACTGTATTCAATTATTTACTTTACAAATTATTTTACATTTTTTTCCATAACAGGTTGGATTGTGGATTGATGCGGGAAGTCGCTATGAAAATGCAAAAAATAATGGTGTTGCTCACTTCTTAGAACATATGGCATTCAAGGTAAGCAGTTGGTAAATGTATCAAAGTCCTTCCCATGACCTATAAAGCAAGCTGATGAATTATAGCGACCAGGATCTAGTGGTGGTCATGTGATGTATCTGTGGTAGAACATGCAGCAAAATCAGTGAATGTGAGAGTAAATGGCAAAGAAGGCAATATCGATTGATGGAAATTGCATATTTCTACTCAATTTGGCATGCTCTTTGCACTTAGACTTAGGAATTCACATAATATTTGTGAACCTTGAGCTAGCCTAGAAATGGTAGTGTGTCCCACTTGCAGTACACGGGTAAAAGATTATCGCATACAAATCTAGCTGCAGATGTGCAGGGGCCTAGGCCTAGCAATTATTGAAAAATCTTGGGCTCTCTTCTCAGTTCTTACAATGCTGATCTCTAACTTTCACAGATTGACCCACCTTCGTATTTTTGGAGGAATACGATAAAAAATTTTTACATTTTTAAAATTAATTTTCAATTTAGACCTTTGAATTTTAAAAAGGCAAATAATATCAAATATATTGAACATTTTTATAACAATTTAATATGTTTTACTGGATTCAAATAAGGAAGGTTACGATTTAGTGAAGGCTAAAACTAATTGTTAAAAGACAAGGATAATAATGTAGTGTGAAAATAATAGCTATAATTATATATTTGGCTTGTCTGTTAAATTGTGCAATTTAAGTAAAATGTCTCAAAATTATTAGACTTAATTTTTGTGTAGATATTATCAACATTAATTCCACAAATTAGTTTGCTGGCTGACTTATGATGTTTAACTTGAAAAAGATTACGTTTTTGTTAAACCATCTCATCTTTTTTTAATTATTATTTAATAGTATTGTTTAACTGTATTTCTTTTCTTATTATACTGTAGAACATTATTGTTAATATTAGTTTGCTATTGTTATTTATTATTATTACTAATTAAAAGAAGAATAATTCAAATTCAAATGACATTTATTCAATGATGGCAGTAATAAAGGTGTACATTACTGTACAATACAAATACAGTAATATAAAAGGGAAAGGTTAGTAAAAAAAAAAAAACCATCATTGGGATCATGACTATAAGTAAAACTCGTCAAGACCCCATGAATAGAAAAAAGGAGAGATGAACCTAAAAGCTACCATAATTATTTTCTGATAGTACAATGATAAGTATTCTTTTTAATTGTACCTTTAAAGACGAGGAAACTGAATTTTTAATTGAAACATCAAGATCATTCCATAAATTAGGACAAGCAACAGAGCAAAAAGATTGACTTTTTCTGAGTCTTCCGATCTGTATCTAACAATTATTGTTATTGTTGTTATTATCAATGAATACAGGGCACCAAGAACAGGTCACAGATGAACTTAGAGTTGGAAATAGAAAACATGGGTGCACATCTAAACGCGTATACATCAAGGGAACAAACAGTTTACTATGCTAAGTGTTTCTCAAAAGATTTACCAAATGGTGAGTTCTTCATACTTTTTTTGTCAACCCTATATGGGTTAATAGATGTAATACAAAATCGGGATATTCTTGTTTGTCTATTGTTTCTTTCAAAACCAAATATAATAGGATAGTATAAACCAGATGTAATGGTAAGCTACATACAGTAACTGTCCATTTTATGTTTTTCAGCTGTTGAAATCCTATCAGACATTATCCAGAATAGTACCCTTGGCGAATCAGAGATTGAAAGAGAACGCGGCGTCATCCTCCGAGAAATGCAGGTAAGTGAATTTAATTGAATTCAAGCTGTTGTATCCCTTGGTTGGTTAGTGTATGTTTGTGCTTGGTTAGATTAAAGGTTCAGTTGTGTCACATGACAACATTCTGTTTCAATTTTATCTGCAACATCGGTGAAGCGGCACTTCACTTGTGTCCTTGAGCAAGGCACTTTATCTGTGTTGCCTCTCTTCTTCCAGGAGTATAAGTGGATATCTGATGGGGTTGCTTGCTGCTGTGCCAATATGGCAGCAATATTTAAGCATGTGATCCCAATGACCAGGGAAAACAGAGCGTTTCGTAACCTAAAGGAAAGGCGCTATGTAAATACCAAATAACAAATAAATGTAAAGTTATATGCCACATCATAATATAATGAAGCCAGCATATTGCTAGAGAAAGCTTGTGTATTAAGTAATTCAAGTTAGTCTATAAAGTGCCACCAGTGTTTTCATTTCATATATCTACTAGACTAACTCTTTCTGCTATTATATTCATCATATTAATAACAATAAGAATATTACAATATTTTCCAAGGATATTAAAGCTCGTGCTCAATTATAAGCCCAGTTAAGGTTGATTTCAGTTGCTATAATTTTAACTATTGAATGCAGATGGACTGTTAAGAGGTCCTGAAATGAAAGACTTGCATTGAAGTCATAAATAGAAACAGGCTACAAGTCTGTATTCCTAGGCCTACTTATCACTTTCATGGGACTCAGTAAAATGCGGTACATTTGAACCTCTTAAACACCATCTTCGGGCCCAGGTATTAAGGATGATATCAAGAATGATAAAAATAACAATAATTACCAATATTCTGCATTGTTTAACCATTGTGCATTAAAAGAGATTTTTACTCAGTGATATTATTGATTGTCTTGTAGGAGGTAGAGACTAATCTTCAGGAAGTGATCTTTGATCATCTTCACGCCACAGCTTACCAAGGTACCGCTCTCGGAAGAACTATCTTGGGACCCACAGAAAATATCAAGTAAGACTGCTCTTGAATTATCATCATCAACATTACATCACCATGATCACCACCATTACCAACATCCTAATCATCGTCAGCATGATAATATTTATGTTATTAATTGGATATTTTTGAGTGTTAGATGGGTTTATTTGATAGAATAATATTTTTAGTGTTTTGTGTTGGCTAAACTGGTAGTAGCCACTGTGTGTGCGCTGAACCCTTGAGATCTCTTTGTCCCCGGTTCAATTTCCATCGCTGCTCTCCTTTTATTTTAGCTGGAGAGCTGAAAGGCTACGATAGCACACCGTCTTTCAGATGAGATGTTTAAGCCATTGTTCCCGTGTGCATTATGGGCCAATGTGCATGTTAAAGAATGCAATTCACTCTTAGGAAGAGAGTAGGGATGTCTCTCCCCCATTCACCACCAGAAGGACCCCACTGGAAATAAGTCGTCTTCAGACTTTTGTGGGTGACTCTTAGTGTTTACGACAAATATATCCATCCATCCATTGTTTCCGAGACATTGCAACTTGTAAATCTTGCTGCTGTTCGCACTAGAATACGGATAAACTAACCGGCGTGTCGGTTAGTTTTACCAAGTAATTCCTGTGCGATTGGGGCTTTATTTTTCATACTGAGTCAGAGTGAGCTCCTCAATCAATTGATGCATGATGTAAAAACAATAGTGTAGGTTAAGTAAAATTATTAAAGTATGATGACTGATGACCCTGATTTCTAGTTGTCACTGTGCTGGGAAAAAATCTTATCGTCATCATCCCACATCCCTCTATTATTTGTTGTCCCACAATTTGATACCTTTTGAAAACACTCAAACCTTTACATATGTTTTTTTTTTTTTTTTTTTTTCGTGTAGAACAATCACCAGGCAAGATCTACAGGATTACATTAGCACTCATTACAAAGCACCGAGAATTGTCCTTGCTGGAGCTGGAGGGGTGGATCATGACACTCTGGTCAACCTCGCAAGTAAACATTTTGGAGGCCTAGGAACTGAATATGAAAATGAAATACCTCAACTGGCACCATGTCCATTTACTGGCAGTGATGTATGTAATAGTTATTATTTGTTGTCAAGTTCATATTAATTTATCAATGTTTGCTGCCCTCTATAGTTTAAATTATTTTCGATTGTACATCATCATATTATATTTAATTGCCTTATTTTGAGTGAACTAGCTTCCTCCATTATTCTCTATCTCCCATAATCTCCTTTAGTTCTTCAATCCTTAATAACCAAGTATCATTTTTAAGCCTGTATACAAACTTTGCCTAATGAATCATAGCCTTTGCAAACATAGGGGTTGATACTTTTTGGAGCTGCCATAGGGCTCTTCATTTGTTTTATCCTCCTTTACAATATTCCAATTATCACCCTAATCAACCTTGAGTATGTGTCATCCAGCATATTACTCCTTTGTTAATGTCCAGCTTTTTGATATATAAATATTCCTATAATTTTATATAAATTATTTAGTATTAAGGTGTCACATTTATTCTTGAATTTTGCAGATCCGTGTACGAGATGACAATATGCCGCTAGCTCATATCGCAATTGCCGTTGAAAGTGTTGGGTGGTCACACCCAGACACGATACCCCTTATGGTAGCAAACACTGTAAGCTAATAATTATTATTTGTATTTTTATCAGAAATTAGAACCGTAAATGACCAAATATGCAACCCTGCTCTTAAAAAATGTTTGACGACTTCAGTACGCATGCTTATTCAAGAGAAGTACTTATTTAAGCCGAAAGGTCCACTGATTAATCTCAGATAAGATAATTATGTCATCATCAGTGGCGTCCTGATGATGACATAATTAATGTCGAAATATTGAATCCCAACACGATGGCGTGTATTTCAATACTTGGAGTATGTATTATACTTTCTTACTTATTTAAGATTGTGAATTATTGCAAATTTTTTACTGTTGCAATTTTATTAAACAATAGCCAATATACAGTGTAACTTTTCTTTAAACCTAGGAATTTCTGACATATTGCAATGATATTTTTGAATTTGTAAGAATTTGGTTGTTTAATAGTGTCCTGCTGATAGAAAATATCAAGGCATATTGAGTAATTATGTACATGTGAATAAGCCCTGATGTTTATTCAAAATAGATTCAATTTTGGTGCTGTGCATTTATATCTATTTTGTGAATACTTACCTGGATGAACCGATATAAGCGAGATTCCTATTGTAACTTACCCGCGATAAATTAATGGAATCGTCTAACCCAGACGTATATAATGCGTAAAATTTCCTTTGGCCATGAATGGTATATACTTAACTGCATACTGAAAGAATATTTTTGAAAGAACAAAGGCACATTCTCTTTCTGTGTTTTTATTGTTTGAGCAATCGTTATGGAAGTTTGAGGCTTGTTTTGTAACGCCGATGCATTATATACGCATGAGGTAGGCGATTCCATTATTTTTCATGGGTAAATTCCTTTAGGAATCTGGCTTATACAGGTTCATCCAGGTAAGTATCTCACTCATAGACAACAACATCACTTCTGATTTTTGTGGTTCAGGAGAAGCGCCTACTTGGTCATTTATGGCCTGATGATATTAATTTATGTTTTGATTGACATTGGCAGGCTCCAAACTAGGAAACATTTTTTTTTCCTCTTCCTGTAAATTACAAACTTCATGAGCATCAGTCAGTCAATAAATCAATCAACTGCTGATACATTTAATGCACCAGATTCCAGAACTAGGTTCTGCTAAATGCTTATTCTTACTTCAAAAATACTTAACATGCATTAAATTAACAAAATTTATCAAAATGGAACTAGAGAAAAATTAATATGATGATAGCCAGCAGCTGAGGGAATGATTTGTTTAATTATTCCGGATAAATACATATGTTGAAAATTTATATGAAATTTATTCAAAAGTACAAATCAGTTAAAGAGAAGGACGATGCCAAATGTTTAACAAAGTGGTCTTAAAAATAATCCAGGAAAGTAATGAAAAAGTCAAATTTATTTCAAATGGGATCCTGTACATTGAGTTTACATCAAATGCTCTTAAAGGAAATAGTGCAAAACATCTTCAAACCAACAACACAAACACCCAACACTACACAAAACAAAGTCAAAACCCCCAGCACCACACCAAAACATTTGCAGCAGCACAGTTTGAACATTGGGTGGGCCAAAGTAGGCCATATGTTTATATCATAGTCAATATTCAAACATACAATATTTGGCAGATTATTGGGAGGCGTACAGGATGGGTTGGCCCACCCACTCAAATTGTTGGGTGGGCCTAAACTTACCCTTTTCCACTGTCAGTACATCAAATCATGCTTTAGTGCATTCAAGTTCCTAAAAGAATATAAACCTTGCACATACAACCACCTTACAAGCGTACACAACAAAACGTAACACTATGACTTGCACTACAAGAAAGCAATTATAAATTTGAATGATAAAACGTTTAAAAATATGCAATTTACAAATAATTTACAAAAAGAAATATGTAAATTAATAAATAATATAAGATTGCAGTATGGCTGTACATACAGTTTCCTATTAAAATGTAAATTGTAATCTTCTGACTATATTTTTGTTTTTATTTTTTAGTTGATTGGTAGCTGGGATCGATCTTTTGGTGGTGGAAATGTAAGTTGATATGATGCGGTTATTGGGAAGAAAAGCATTGTTCAAATTTAGGCCAAAAAAAAATAAATTTGAATATATAGGGTTGGATTTTTTTTTTTTTTTTAAGCTTTTAAGCGTTTACTTGTGATCACCCTTAGTTGACCCCACTTTTCTGTTATGCTTTTCTTTTATAAGATTTGTTGTATAATGTATGAATATTACAGTATTTGATCAATAATCATTGATATAATTATAAAATCTTGCAAATTCAAGGTCATCTTTTCTTATGCAATAATGTTTTTATTTCGCCAAGGAGCCCAAATAAAAATAAGTTTGTTGTGCTGCCGAAGCAGTGATATTTGTAAATCAGGGTCAGTGAATTTAGAAGTATTTTTTTGCTATTGGTCTAAGCCAGTCTCACACGTTGCAATTTTGCTTATGATAATGAGATATGAAATATACACATCTAATTTTTGGAGATTTCAAGGCAGTGGTGAGCTTATTAAAAAACTTTTATATTTTTCCTGAAATTTTCCATTTTTGTCAAAAATATATGTGACTTGCTCACACAAAACTCAAAGTGGGAAAATATTAAAACTTTTTTATATAATTACATTCGATTTATTTTGTTTGTTAATGTTTTTTAATATTTAATGAGCAATGTTGGTTGTTTAACGAAAAATCGTGTATAATCGATTGTAGTTACTGTTATTAATTGACTGGAATAGTCGTAGCAGGGTCACCCACGAGCAAGTTAAAAGCATGACCCTCCCCCTTCCCAAATTTATGATCCTTGATGAAGAGAGGCAAACGTAAGTAAAGTGTCTTGCCCAAGGACACAAGCAGTGCGATGAGCATCGGCTTCGAACTCACGATCCAACACTTTACACGCAGCGCCACACGTTTACACGGAGTGTTATTATTACAAATGAAAAAAATTATAATTTATAGCTTCAGTGTATGTGCACAAGATGCTGAATTAATGCATGACTGCATGCACAAGGAACATTAACATTACCAGAATATAATGTTATTTATATAAAGGGTAACAAAATTTAACTTGTAGATTACATATATTGTAAGATTATGTTGTCAAATGATGGATAGTATATGAACGTAATACTATAAAAATATCAAATTTTTAATGTTTTTTGCAACTTGATATGATTTTTGGGAACACGTCAAATATATTTTTTTACTAAGGAGTCCAAAATACGTAAATGATATTTTAAAAGTGTACTAGTGCGTTTCAAATGTTATGTCTACTGTATGGCACCTGAAAATGGCACTCTCACACTCATATTTGAATGAAATTTTCTTTTTTCTCCTTTTTATTTGCACGTGGGTTGGTCCCTCCTTTGCAGCCCCTAGAATCCTTCTCAACATATGATGGGAGATGGCTAGCTATGAACCCTAGCATTTGTCCTAAGGCTACAGAAGAATATCCTGACTTACCGACCCTAATTATTAACTGTCACTGTGCTAGGAAATCACAATTTTTATTTATTTTTATCACCATTGTTAAAAATACGGATATTGCATTCTTCATCATTGCTACATATTTAAATAAAAAAAATTTTTTGACTCAAATTAAAGGTGAGGGAGGGGGATATTTGGTTCTCTCCCATGGATCCCTCTGTGGTTGCCATCATTGTTACAAGTCCTTTTATGTCAGTGAAGCAGTATGGGGTCTGCATGTTGTTTGTTTGTTAGTGACCTGCATTATCCACATCGCAGTGCTGTTAGGAAATTGATCTGATTCAAAGGAAATTTGATTAATGCGTTGTCATGACGATCGATCGTGCAGCATTTGAATTGAAGCTTCAAACAGAATTGAAGCTTTTAAGCATTTACTTGTGATCACTCTTAGTTGACCCCACTTTTCTGTTATGCTTTTCTTTTATAAGATTTGTAGTATAATGTATGAATATTACACTATTTGATCAATAATCATTGATATAATTATAAAATCTTGCAAATCCAAGGTCAACTTTTCTTATGCAATAATGTTTTTATTTCGCCAAGGAGCCCAATTAAAAATAAGTTTGTTGTGCTGCCCAAGCAGTGATATTTGTAAATCAGGGTCAGTGAATTTAGAAGTATTTTTTTGCTGTTGGTCTAAGCCAGTCTCACACGTTGCAATTTTGCCTATGATAATGAGATATGAAATATATACATCTAATTTTTGGAGATTTCAAGGCAGTGGTGAGCTTATTAAAAAACTTTTGTATTTTTCCTGAAATTTCCATTTTTTTCGTGGCAACGGGTGCGCTTGGGCAATTTTTTTTATTTGAAATCATTATTGGCAGGCGTCAGGTTCACTAAACAAGGTATAAAAAAAGTCTTGCCTAATAATGTGAACTTACGAATCCTTGACATTATTTCTGTCTTTATGCCAACCTAATTTGCATATTAATTAGGTGATTAATTATTTATTAATAATATTAGCCTAATCATTTTGATTTATGATTTAGTAAATTTCTTTATGGTTGGTATTTACTGTGTTGGGTTTAATTATTTTGTTATTATTTTTGTTATTCGTATTTTAATGTTTATTTTTATTTTATTGTTATTATTGATATGTTTAAACATTTTAATGTTTTTATGTATTTATTTTCTTGCAGAATACCTCAAATAGACTAGCTCAAGCTTGTTTTGAAGGAAGTCTAGCTCACTCTTTTCAGTCCTTCAATACTTGCTATACTGACACAGGACTATGGTATGTAACACCCTTTTCTACAAAATGGTAGAACCCATATATTCTTTTGTTTACATTTAATAATAATAATAATGATAATAATAATAGTGTAGTTTTATATAGCGCACATATCCATCTAATGTAGAATGCTCAGGGCGCTTGATATGTGGACTAGGAACTCGATCAATGACTTTCTTCCCTTCGTGTCTGTGCTACCCGGTAACCCGGTACCAGCAACTCTCATTGTCCACCAAATTGAAGAAAGCTTAGCCCCTGCCTTACAATGCAGATGTTATATGATATAAATTCCCTTTCTATAAAATAGTAGGAAACCATCAATTTAACACTTTCCAGTCGTATGGCGTCGCGACGACACCCTCTTTGACCATACTTTATAGTGAGGTGCGTCGTATGTACGCCTTGAATAGATTTCATGATAATTATTTTATAGCTAGGCTACCCTCTATAGGATTTTTTAAGAGTAATGTAGGAGTGTTTCTGTAGAGGGCCTCCTGTATTCAGACCAATTAAAAAGCCTGTGCCTAGTAAAAACCCAACATTTATGATTTAGTGTAGATGATGAATTTGTCCGCTTTAGTACAGCCTCAGGCAATGGTAATGGGGCAGACTGGAAAGGGTTAATTTCTAGATATTTTGTATTTTAGCAAGAGGGATAAAAAATACATGTCACCCTAGCTCATAGGGGCACTGACTCTTTTATATGTCTCAATATTTTTCAAACAAAGAGATAAAATTAATATTGATAGAAGAGTTGACAGACCTAGTGTTCGCTACACTTCTTTGTGTCCATGTCTTTGACCCAGTTTTCCTTGACCTTATTCATACTCGGTATACTTCCCTCTATCCTAGAAATTATTATCTACTTTGACAGTTTGTTGCCTCAGAAGTGTTATAAGAACTTGTCTCCATTATATCAATTTCAAGAAAGAGTGAAAAATCCATGTGGAGCGTCTATAGGGAAATGAATTCACCATTCATCTCTTATCTGGCGTAAATAGGCCATCACTCACCTCTTATCTTGTGTGTAGAGGTTGCACGCAACTATACTCACATGATATTAATTGACTCATGAATTTCCTCACAGCTTGTTTCGGCTTTTATCAATGCAACCCAGGCGTTCTGTGCTATCTTTCCCCAATAGTTTGTTCTAATGCAAATTAAAATATTTATTGCAATATACTTATGTGTAGTTTACTTGTACTGTATAACACCATTGGTTGTACATGCTACAAAGATCTGGATACACTGATCAATTTGTTCACAATGTTCCTGGCAATATTTATTGCCTGTGTATGTAATTTAGCACCTGGAATAATTTAATTGAAAACCATTCATTTCCTATAAGTGTTGTAAATGAGTCAACATATTGTTGGGTTGCGTCTCAGGTCATTTTTTTCTGGGGGTCAGGCAAACAATGAAATGGGGTTTTTTTTTTTTTCCTCGGTTTTCATTTTTATGCGGTTTGGTTATCGCTTGTTATTCTGTGGAATTGGGTCATGTAGTACCTCTAATTAATCTTTATGATAGCCGACTTTTTTTTCTCCCCACGAGGGGAGCAGGGAAAGATCGAGAATGCAGCACCAAATTGTCAGAATAGATTAGTAGGAAGCACTAGCAGCAGTGGCATTACAAAGTGACCCAACGCCCTATTGAAGCATTTGGTATTTTTTCTTATACTATAGTGGCATTGGTATACATTAACATTTTAAAATGCAGTGGCATTATGGGGTGGGTGGTATGTTCCTCATTGGATATGCCCCTGGGGAGGCAGTTGTACAATGCGTGCCTGTCTGTTAGTGTTTCACTTATATAATTAGGAAGTGCTGTAAGAATATGTGCATAAAAATAAATATTATGTACTACATAATAAGTAAGCATTTAAATCTCTGTCCACTTAATCAAATTTTATGTAACAAATAAATTTGATATGCCAATATTTGGGTGTTATATGACATCATCATACTCATATATGGGCACATCACACACATTTGTGTGGACGGCTTTAAAATACTGTAATGTAATTTTACTTGTCATTATACCAAAAAAAAAAAAAAAAAATTAGAAAATATGAAATAAAAATTCTTTGTCGTATAGTTCATATAGGTAAACAATGCAAGACTTTTTTATACCTCGCTTTACAAACTCATCATAGTATTAAAATAGTCTCACAAAAACTTTCTAAAGTTCTATATAAACTATCAGATTTATGTATCAAAGTTGTGTGATTTGCCCATATATGGGCATAATGATGTCATATTACATCCAAATATGATATCGCAGTTTTTTTTGTCACATAAATTGTGAGCAGGCTGTGTTTTATCATCACTACTGTAAGTCAGAGCTACACCCTAATAAAAAGCTCCAATCAATCTCGGCTTATAAATTCCTTTCAGTGAGTTGAAATAATTAATAATTTACAAAATTAATTGCATTTGAGTGTGTGTCGGCGATAGATACATATGGCTGTGTGTAACTGATTACTGGCGAATGTTAGCTTGTGATTTATTTCTTCCTATATTTGACAACAACGTTGTACTGCAATTTCAGTGAAGGCTACAGTAGGCTACTGTATACTCATAAGTACCTCTGATGGTTCCCTGATATCAGAGGCTGTGTCACACTAGCCTCATTAATTGCAAGCCTTAATTTATGCTTGAATCAGCTTTTATGACATGTTCACCCTGGAACTTACTATTGATATAGTTAGCTTGAATTAATCTGATTCATTATATTTTTTTGTTGGGGGGTGGGGTGAGAGTGGTGTCATAGGGTGTAGTCGCCATAACATATAGAGGGTTAGCTTTGTGTTGAAAGATTGAAGATTGTTATTTTGGGTCTTTGGAAGAGTGGTCCCGAATTAGAAGGGTCTTCGAATTATTGGTGCACTGTATTGTTATGATTACTTTTGGCATGTCATTTTGAATACATTGATTCACTTCATCCACAAGCTATTTTTAAATAATTTTTAAAATATTTATTTAGTATTTTATATATTTATATATTTTTACAAAAGCTTACTAAAAGAGACATACTAGTAGTGGATGGGGTTGGGAAGGTGGTACAATTATTAGTATTATTGTCATCGTTATTACTATCATAATATTTTAATTTTTCAGGCCTATTGTTATTGTTGTTATTGTTTACTTAGTCAACATTTATATTTGTAGGGGTATGTACGCCATAGCTGACCCAATGAAGATTGAGGATCTGATGTTCCACATCCAAGGGGAGTGGATGCGCATGTGTACCAGCGTTACAGAAAGCGAGTGCGAACGAGCCAAGAAAAATTTTATGTTAGCGCGAATAATTGACTATATTGAGGTGTTTTTCGGCCTTTTAGGTTCAACTCCAATCTGTGAAGATATCGGACGTCAGATGCTTTGTTATGGTCGACGTATCCCTCTGCCGGAATTAGATGCCCGCATTGATGCCGTAAATGCCAAGGTACTCCGAGACGTCTGTTCAAGGCACATATATGACAAGTGTCCAGCTGTCGCAGGAGTTGGTATGTGTTGTTTGTTTTTTTTTTCAGTATAATTTTATTATGTTATTTGTTTTTCTATAGTTTTAGGCCTATAGGAAAAGGATTGCCAAATAGCGATATTAATCACATATTATTCAGTCTTGTCCTTAGCCATCCACTTACGATTGATATAGCAATCATAAGCATTACATAAACATATGAGGTTGTCATTAATGTACTGTTGCTAAAAGATAAACTAAGTAATTAGCATAAGAATGTGACAGTATTACATACATTAGTACAGAGAATCCATAATACTTTTACTCATGACTTTGGCAGTATTAAGTTGATAATTGACCATCATTTTTTAAGCTTATAATGAGAAGAATATGTGATTATTAAAAAGTCAAGATTCTTGTTTTGATAACTGATAGTAGTTTTGGTATTTCAAGCCCCCATATATTTAAATAATACGCCAGTATTTAAAAAATCTGAGTTGATTTAATCCAAGAGATTTTGTGTTCAGTATATAATTGCATAAACAAATCAATCAATTAATAATTGTATGAATAATGAAATTGCTTTAGTCAGTGTTTAGGATAACAGCTTGTCGTATTATTTTTCTGTTATTAAAGGAAATCGTTAATAATTTAATTATGCTAATAAAAATATACATTATGAAAATGAGAATATTTAAATTATAAGCGATGTTAAAAACACAACCCAAAAGAAAAAAAAAACACTTATATATCACATGATTATCAATTAGTAAAAAATTAAAGTAAATTAACATACCATAATTAAGTAATAATACACGTATTACTATTTCATAACTGGTAAATGTTGATATGTATATTTTCTAAGAGTAGAGTACAGATGAATTCAATTAGCTTTGACATTTTAACTTCCTAGAGCTGTGCTTGCAAAATGACATATATAATGAGCTGTCGGATTAAAATCATATGTGAACCAATGTTGTTCATTGCACTCTGGATTGTGATGCAGCGAATGGAGTGATTAACATTTTCTACTTCATTGTTCTTGTGATAAATATTATTTTGTCATAATTTAATTGATGATCATTGATTTATTGATTGATTGATTGATTCTTTCTTTCTTTCATTCATTCAACTGTTCATTCAATCATTTATTCATTCATCCATTCATTCATTCATTCATCCAATTATTATTCCATTCATTAATCCATTCATTCATTCATCCTTCTGTACATCCGTCCATCCATCCATTCGTACATTCATTCATTTATTCATTCATTCATTCATTCATCCGTCCATTCACATTCATTCTTGGCAAACCATCAGCCACAAATATAGACAACACAACATAATAATAATAATACCAACAATATTATAAAACCTAAGTAGACCAAAGCCTTCCTTACCTTACGTTAGTAATAAGATATATAGGCCTAGGCAGCTCAACTTATATATTTCCTTCCCTTTGGGAGTATTCAGCTCACCCCAGCTGTTAAACTCACTTGGAGTATTCTTCCAGTCACTCAGTTGTTAATTCAGTTCAGAGAGAAATGCATTCCCCACTTATAATGTCACATGATCCCTTTTGTACCCATTTATACTCACAGGTGAACTAAATTTCAAACACATGAGTTCGCACACATGGACATGTCTAAATATGGTCAGGATGACATCACATCATGGCTATATATGGGCATACAACAGTTTTTTTGTCAAAGAAAATTTGATAATTTGTGTAGAGCTTTAGGTTAATTCAATAACTACTATGTTGCCTCACCCTCCATAGTACCCTCAATCTCATTAACTGTTGATCAAAGGGTTTGACATAAACAAATATTTATAAGTCATACTAATGTTAGATTTATTCAGTGCTTCTTCCAATATGGCCTCTAAGGGCTTCACATGGTTTCCCCCATCATTGGATCAAACACATATGAAACGCAAACTTGGCACCCTGGGGCGAATTCCATATTGCAGCTATAATCAGCTCAATTCATTATTTGTACCTCTCAGGTACCAACTTGTACTCCTGGTTGGAGAGAGACAACCGTAGTTAATCTGCCCTTCCAATTTAATTCTCTTATTCATTCTTTACAATCAACGACAGCCGAAGCTGAATTGCAGCATTCTATTTACAAACTATCCTACCAAATATAATACACTTTAAAATACTGTACCAAAAATAGGACCATTATAATAGTTATACAACTACTTTACAAGCATGATTATAAAAATTACGATGAATATCAACAAAATCACAATATTATAAACACCATAATTATTATTATTATTATTATTATTATTATTTATTATTATTATTGTTATTATTATTGTTATTATTATTATTATTATTATTATTATTATTATTATTACTGAAAATGAATGATTTGGAACTGAAAACATACCTAAAGGAAATATTTAAAGCTATATTTACATCCAATCTTTCCTCAAATCTACCTAAATTTTACTTTTTATGGCAATATATTTCTCATTGAAGTTTATTTTGTTTCCCACTCACTTCAATTTTTTCTTACATTTTTTTTCATCAGAATTGAGGTGAATTCTAAATTATCTGCTTTTACTTTCTTTACAGGCCCAGTTGAGCAACTTCCTGATTACAACAATTTACGATCAGCCATGTACTGGGTACGATTCTAATTTAGACGACTTAAAAGACACTTATAAGAAAAGAAGGACTGAGGGAACACCTACTGGATCCAATATAGCATTGGCGTGATGAATACTCCAGTGGTGATCCAATCGCGAAATTCGTAATATTTATACAAATATATGATTAAAAAATTTAGAATGTTTAATAAAAAGTCTTTATTGCTGTGTCAAAGAAATAATATCAGACAAATAAAATTGTTGAAATCAATCAACCTGGGTTGTTCTCTTATACTCTAAATGTAATGTGTTGAGTTTATTCTATTATTGGTATTATGTAGGATATCTTTCAGATAAGTGGTGAAAAAAGGGATTTATATAAATGTCTGATGAAAGACTGTATATGCCAGCGTTGAACCTAAGGATCTAATAATATAATTCAATTTCTGGATGTTTCTTCCACTTCAAATACCTGATGGTCTCTATGTAAAAAATAGAATAATGGTGACTCCAAAAATAGTTGAAGAAAAAAGATGAAAAGATGGTCAATTTTTGGAGTTGTCTTTATTTTACTTGTACTAAAACAGCACATTCTAATGTCTTTCTTAGATTATATAAATACGAATCTACAACTGGGCTGAATTGGTTATAATATATTTCATAGTTTTAAAATGAAATATCTTCTTTATGTTACGTCGTCTTTGTGCCCTTTAATAACCCTTGCGTTCACTTCCATTTTGTTAACAAATTCTCTTAAAGACACAGTAACTCCCACTTAATGAAATTGCGCCCTCATCGTTAAATCGTATCGCTGATTCATAACCACAGGAAATCCGTGATGTTGCAATGTTTCTATGGAGATGTAAATTGTGATTAATGAGGGCTCAAACGTTAACAGTTGATGACTGCTATTGCATTGTTATTAGTTGCAGTTGATGAGATGTTCAGAGTTTTCTGGAACTTGAAATAAAGTATACCACACACAAAGTATGTTGATGACTAATTGTATTTTCTATGAACCTTTCATTGTCAATATATTTTTACCATATTTATTGTGGCATTTTTGCGATTGATCTGGTGAAATAAACTACATGGGCATAGGCTGGGGTTGGTGGTGCAGGTGGTGTGGATGCGCCCCCTTCTACAAAAGTGGCAAATTTGTTGTTGGTCGGAAAATTACTATTGAGTTTGAATAGAGATTAGTTCCGCATTCTCGATTTTATCACCCCCTCACCCAATCCTCCCCACACCCAATCCTTCCCCCTCCCTCCCAGATCAAAACCAGCCTACGTCCATGAAATAGCAAATATAGAATATGTTTTTGCAGAATGTCAAAACCAACTTCTTGATCTTGCCTGTGTTACTTCAATTTCAAAATGCTGTGTCCGTATTACTAATGTTAATACAGTATACAGTTGCTTACATCCCAAATAATCAATTTTGTAATAGTTATATAGTTTATATATAAGAAACGCCATCGCAATAGTTTTATAAATAGTATTATTTATACGTTTGTTAAAATTGAGACTCGGAAAGTATCATTAAGACATACATTAAAATGAAAACGTCTTCCAGGATCGTTCAATAAGCGAAATATTCTAATCCTTTACCAATTCCATACATACCGCGCCTATATGTATAAAAAGTCAAAAAAGTGTTATATGACCTTCGTTAATGTAAACAAAGGCAAAACATAAATAATATTTACATACTAAATTTTAAGCATAAGTACCGTTTAGTAGGCGTGTCTACACAAATTACCGGTGCATGAACAATGTGCCTGATTACATTAAACATAGTTGTATACATTGGCGTAACGCCTATGCGCTCTCGTGCCGCGGTCCGCAGGGCCCCCGACCCCTAGGAACCCCGGGTCCCCTCCCATAGGGTGTTCGCTCTACCACCCTTATGTAATAGAGATTTGTTGATACATAACAGCATAATTGTCGACTGTAGGACATGTATCATATCCAGTGACGGATTAAAGTGGAGACAACAACAAATATTTTCCTCGAATAAACGCCCCCTATATAACTAAACAAAACTAATGGAAACTGAGCAAATTGCAACATCAACTAATTCCTCCATGATCGTACTCAACACATTCTAAGCCTATTAATATATACTCCAGCAGAATTGTGTTTTTCTAACCTGGTTTGGATTAATAAGTCCTTTGGATCACGCACTATCACATTATTTTGGACGGTGATACATGTGTGGCCCACATTTCCAGTGAAATTAAGCGTCGCGGGTTTATTTGAGTATACGTATCCATTTTACACCAAAAACAAACAAAAAAACACCTCCCTGAACTAAACACCTTCCTTGAATAAACTACTCCTAAAAACCCCTCTCAGCAATAGACACCCGGAGCGTTTATTCAAATAAATACGGTATGTAATTTTATAAAGAAAAATGTAGTCATAAAACGTTAAGAGTTTTTTTATATAGTTCCAGTTACGATTGTAAACACTGTGAAAACAATAAATGTTATTTAACAATACATTACACAAACACAAACACACCAACATGTAATGGATTAGGCCTACTTCAACCAGCTCACTGCTTGAACTTGTAAGCCTGGTTATCATAAAACTGCGGTAGATATTGTTTCCATTAGATTTATTTAAAGTCATTTAGGAGGTGGGGGTTATTCGAGGAAAAAATAAATGCCTCATGGGGCGTTTATACGATGGAGGTGTTTATTCCAAATGAGGCTCCAGCGACGTTTACTCAAAGCGGGGCGTTTATTCGAATAAAATACGGTATAATTTTATTTACGGTATATAATTTTATGGAAATTTATCATTATAATGGTTGCAACTCATTAGGCCTATTGAGCTTATAAATGTTTACTAACCGCTTGAGCGGATACATCGATAATTATATCAGTGACGTTCATTCCGTTCTCGTCCCTGGTTCATATTGACCAATCAGGGCACTTTTAAACACAGATATTTTTAGACACTCCTTTTGATACTACTTAAGGCAAAGTTGTATAACTGTAGAGAGAAGACAACATTTTCCCAAACTATTTGTTCATTGCTTGTGCAATATAAGTTAAAAATTAATTCCAATATTGTGTCTTTCGGAAAGTCATATGGGAGTGTGCGGAAGCAAGCGTCTGAAGACAAGAAGGTAAGTGTAACTTTGACTAAAAATTATGTGTTGCTTCCGTTCTCCGTGTCGCAGATCTTTCAAGGGTTTTTGAGTTATTATTAATGGACAATGTGTGTCTTGTCTGATTCACTCTTGAATTTGAAATGAAGCTAGAAGATAATCTTCCATTGAAAATGAACAACTTCTTAGGCCAGTACTAGTATATGAATTTTTGTTCATTTATTTTTTAACCTTTAAAATAGGGCTACTTTAAAGATTTGTGGGGATCCCCGACAAAACGTAGTCCTATAGATGCTGTGGTAGAGAAATTTGAGTGTAGTTATTTTGCAATAACTCCCGGATCAAAACAATTTCAGATACAAGTAAACTTGGGCATGCTGGCCCATGGAAAGGCCAAGGAGAGGGGAATGGGAGCGTAGATTTTGGAATCCAGTGGATTTGATGTAATGTAAATTAATTTGAACTATTTTCTGTAAATCCTCTCATAATACCTCCAATTGAAACGAGACATTGGATAATGACCAGGAAAGCGAGAGAGAAATAACATCATAAGGCCATGGTCCGGGGTGGGCTATGTGTCCCGAATGGGGACTTAGCACTGTCGAAGTTTTGTGGCTCTTATCCGGTTGAAGAATAAACCAGTATTCGTGAATGTATTATTTTTTATAGGGCCCTTTTAACTCTTGAATTGCAGATCCGTGTCTGTTTACAGAGAAATAGGACCCGTGTAAATTTTCCCTTCCCTTCATCCTAAATTGTGAATTATGCCTCCCTAACCGGCATGGAATAAGGCCTACGGTACGTCCTGTCCCCATGGTGCCAACCCATGTCCTGTACATGTTGGGGTTTCAGTTGAGCTCAGTTTTGTACCTCCCCCACTGATGTCAGTGGTAATACCAGAGGCAGTCTTCTAGCATCCAAATAGATGCAGGGTCCAACTGTAGTTCTAGGTAGGGGAGGGGTGGAGATTCACCTGAAAATGAGTTCTTTGCCAAATTTTACATATCCCTTCATACAAAACTCTCAAAATGTATATTATACCAGTGTTTTGTGTAATGTAACTGTGTGTTGGATTCGTCTCACTACAGTAGTAATTTTGCATGTGAATTTAGGGCATGCTTGATTTTTTTAATGCCATGCGTCGGGCACTCGGACCGAAAACTGGTAGGAGGGAAACTAAAGCCTCTGTTTCCTCCTCCCGCCATGTTCAAAGCTTTAACTTTTGCCTAAATATACAAAATAAGAAATTAATAAATTAATTTACCTTAATTAAGTATTGGTACGTTCTATATTTATTTTTTAATGGCCGCAGGCAAAATAAATACGTCTTATTGTTTTGTATTTTCAAATAGGTCTAGGCCTTCTATTCTGATGGAAATAATTAATGATTAATAGTAGGCCTATTAGTACTAATCTTAAAAATAGTATTTCAAAATCAAAATATTGGTCCCAAAAAAAATTACATTAACATTAGCAATCATTGCACATAATTACAAGGATAAAATGTTGCATACAGTACTTTATACGGTACGCTTTACGCATGTTCTTATTATTTCCCCATCCAATATTTTTATCATACCTTTGTGATTTTATTTTTTGTTCTTTATTTCCATGTCTTTATTGATGTTTTCCCCCTTTGATCTGTTGGTCTAATCAACTATCAACCCTGTAGGTCGGGGGTTTGGGTCCCCGGTCGTATTGCAGAATGAAACTTACGTAAATCATGGAGGTATAATATTTTTATAATTCTAATTTCATACCATGCCATGCGTAAACGGCAGCTTATACTGTGGTCAAAGTGAAAAATCGGAAACGATGATCGTTGCCATCACTAACGACGAGGACGTTGATGGTGATGATGATAATAATTATTATTATAATTGATGCCAACACTGACCTCGGTGATTTTATTTCTTCTAAGATATTTATTTCAAATATCGATATTGTACTTAAATTTAATGTATGGCGTAGAGCACATTTATTATGGGGATATTAGCGGAATGAAAAATCTAAACCAAAATCACGGAAAAACAACCGACAATTTGTCATTAAAATTTGCTCAACAATCATAATAATCGACCCACTTCCATTAAAACCATCTTGTTATTTCGTTGATTTTTAAAATTTTACTACAGTATTTTCAAGTTTTACATGAAAAACTTTTTTGGTTGTGTCATATTCTGCATAGGAAATTGGCTAAAATAGAATTTTCTTTAATATTAAACAATTGTTTAGCTTTTAATTTCCTTTCTGTTTTTTTCTGTCTTTGCCTTTGTTTTACTGTTTTCTATTCATAGACAGTACTGGAATGTTCTTTTCATTTGATTCTGGGTGCCATTATAGTCACTTTTCATTTTATATTTTTTGATATTATAACGGTTTTATTTCATTTATATCTTGATGTAACTTTGACATTTTTAGAATTCATTCAATGTGCTATTAAGGCCTATTATCGTTTATTTCATGGTACTTTTCGAATGTTTAATATATTATGTTTTTATTCGAACATTGTTAATTTGCAATTTAGAGTAGCAAAGTTCAATCCTAATTGGAAATGATGCCATGGACTATAATTATAAAAACACTGGTATAGCACCCATCGCCTACATCATATTCAAAATCAGAATCATCGCTGTTTTTAGCCTGGTTTTATAATGAAAAGATACATATGTTTCGTTGGTCCAATTGTGTTGAAAATTAAGCATTGTTTTGATTTATATTTGTTAATGACGTTGCGATTGCTCGATGACGATTGGTACAGTATTTGCCATTGTAATGTCATATGCGGAAGCTGTGGGTTCTAACGCTGGTGTTGTCCAATCGGATTGCGAGTTTATTTTGGGAACACCTCGGTATACATATAAAGTGACAATCTTCAAAGTGACTTCAGAGAAGCAATCGAAATACCTGTGCACTATATATCAGGGATATATTTATTTCCAGACACCCGTGCAATATTAATAATAGGTATGTGACTGACTACAGGAATATTTTATTTACAGTATATTATAATCAATAGGCCTTCTGTGAATAAGTTTAAAGTCTAATGTAGTTGTTTAACTTACAGAAATGTATTTAAATATTCAATAAATATTTAGCTGAAGTGAGTTGATAATAAGCAATTAATTTTATTACATCTGAAGTATTCTATTTAATTAAAAATAATAATAATAATAATAATAATAATACACGTTTCCTACTGTATAGTGCAAATTTATTTCCCCTCAATCAAAATGGAACGGACCATAAATATTTTTAACCAATCAATGAAGGCAGTAAACATATTTGCATTATTATCCCAGCATTCTCTGGTGATGATGTCATCAAATTTTGGGGTATCGTAATTGCTCAATAGAAAGTCCCCTCCAAGGCTTATTGAGGTGTGGCCATTATTGTTATCAACGGTAATTTTCTTAACATTGGGGAAAAGGGCAACTGTTTTGAGTGTACGGGGAGATAGTTTCCTGGTTGATAAGTGCTAGTTTATGGTAAGTAGTAGTGAGCGAAAAACAACAATTCAAAGGATACCTTTTCTTGAATATTGTACCTGTTGGTGTCTGTTAGTGTTAAGGGTATGTTTTTGATCACTGTGTAAATTTAATTCTATGATGGTGATGTTGAGATTGAGATTATCCCGGAAGCGGACGACCGGTGGCGCGAGGGTATTTACGTCGGAATATGTTTTTTTAACCATAGAGGCCTATTTGCCCGTTCATTGTTGTTTTAACAAAGAAATGAAACGATATTTTTATTAATTAAATTTCCATGCGATTGTGTGTTTATGTTGATAGAGTAAGTACAGGAAAATACGCTGTTAGTAATTTGTTGATGCTCGTATTCTCAACGGCCATGGAGGCCGCCATTTTGAATATGATGGTCATGGCCAACAACAAAATGGTGGTGTTGGTCAGGGTGTATACCAACACATAGTCGTACTTTATTTTGGGTGGGGCTCCTGATTACTCTGAACTACGGACATTTATCGTCACAGAAAAGCGTTTGTTTGATTGGAAATTTCATGTTGGATAGAAATATCTATTTAGTTCAACTTTTTCAGGTTCATTTTGTGGTTTTAAAAGTTACTTTTCATTGCTATTTTGTGTTGTGTGATATCAACTCGAACTTGCACTGCTGTTGTGAGATACTGACTACTTGTGATGTGGTGTGTCATTGGTGCACATCAGGGAGTTTCTACAACATTCTGGGCTTATTAATCATTTTGAGGGTATAAAGGATATAAAAAAATTTGGGTTTAATTGCTCATCATTCATAGCCTGTAGAGTTGGATCTAATAATAATGGTGTCGTAACTCAATCGTATGCAACATTTTCACAATGCTGAACACAAATTCAGTGAAAATAAACTTATGCCAAAAGAAATATAATAGTTTGTATGTATGTCGCATTATTTTTTCCCACATTAATTATTATTAATTTTTTTGGGGTGGGGTCATTAACAGCTAAACATACACAGCACTTTCCCCAACTGTTGAAGAAGGGATATGGAGATGCTAAAATCTACACAGAAGTCAAGTTTTTTTTAAATGTATATTTATGCAGGCCTAAATTGTTTGCAGCAAATATTCCAGTATACAGTATATTAAGCCCAACACTTTGTTGTTTTTAAATTGACACAGACTTGTTTTTTGACCAAAGTGTTGGATCAGCTGTACAGGGACCCCTACAGCTTGGCTTTCTTCCTAGCAAGTTGTGTGACACTGTTTGTATAGTACAGACCACCTCTGTGACCATACCTGTACTAACAGTTAATTATGGACAGACACCAAGAGTCCCATTTACATCTGATATGTACTGTATGTTATGTGTACTGCACTTGGGCCTTCAAGCGCACATGACCAACAAAAAGTGGTGCACTATAAATAGTCATTTGTTTCATGCTGTAAAGTGTATCATTTTCACAAGGGTACAGTAAGAATTAACTAAAGTAAAATTTGCATCGAAAATAAATTTTCGAGTAGATGCGCAGTTGTACAGTAACACTACACATTTAGTCTTTAAGTATTCTAAAAATTTGGGACAGAAATTGTCCCTTATTTTTTGAATGTTAGACAGATTTTATTAGAACAGGTGCTATGCAGTATTCTCTACACTGCTTTCAGTTCTAAATGAAAAGTAGAATTTAAATGAGTGACAAGTCCCTTTAAATGTTGCCTTTAAACGCTGACTGAGTTTTTTTCCTGGATTATTAATGATAATTTATGCACTTTAGAGATTGCGTGCAAAGTCAGTGCATTGGAAGATTAACTCAAATCTATTGAATTGCAAGCCCAGTTAACGAAGGCAGTAAATAACCATAATTTTGTCATTGTATTGATTCTGGTGAATATTATTAATTTTAATAACATTTTTAATAGGAATAAAAGCAATTTATCGACTAAAATCCAAGTAGTTGTTGGCTCGTTTTGTCTCTGTTTTTAAAAACTGCTTTTTTAAAGTTGTTATATATTAATAATTATAAAAAAATAATTATTGTTTTTATTTTATGAAATTAAATGAACTCCAAATTTCCCTTGTTTTTTCTTAGCAAGTGATCTGAACCTTCTGTTTCAAGTATCAAATTTTCTTTGACAAAAAACTGTTTTGTATGCTCATATATTGTCATGATGTACCTATATATGGAGATGATGTAATGTCATCATGACCATTTTTAGGCATGTCCCATGTTTTTGTGAAGAAAAATTTGATAGCATGGACAGGGCTTACAGTAGGTTCTGTTCTCTGCATCACATGACAGTATTTTTAAACGAAAATAATGAGAAAAAAAAAACACTCGAGAATATCAGTTACCATAGATACAAATGCACAATGAAATATTATGTTAGTCTTCATAAGTAGTCCCTCTGTAGCAATTATATAATACTCAACTCTTAATGTTGTTCACATAATATTTTACTACTGGTAATAACACAGTGTCTACTGTAGGGACATCATGGGCTTTACAGTTATTGTTAAAAACAAAGTTATAATTTTGCAAATGAAAGAATTCATTGGGCCGAAAAATGAAACAATGCATGTCACATTCCCCGCTTGTGTACGTGTTTCACTTGCCTTTTCGCAAGACAATTTCTACGTCCCATTTTTACTTTTATTGCCATTAAATAAAGCAAACAATACTGTACTGTGTGTATAAAGACAATCCCTTTTATAGCAGTAAATGCTTTTCAAAAAATATTTCCTCCTGATAGTGTTTTTGTCAAACTGGAAAAAAATCATGAAATATCTAGATGTTATATCGATCAACATACTACCTGCAAATGTAAAATAAATATTAAATTGTTTGTCATTTCAGTGATTTTCCAATGGCGGCTATACGCAAAAAGTTAGTGATTGTAGGTGATGGTGCCTGCGGAAAAACCTGCCTTCTAATAGTTTTCAGTAAAGACCAGTTTCCAGAAGTATATGTACCTACAGTGTTTGAAAATTACGTGGCTGATATTGAAGTTGATAATAAACAGGTAAAGATGTTGTTTTGGTCACATTTATTGATATCGTACAATTGTGAACTTTGATTTTGTTTATCAAATTGTAACTTTAATTCATATGGATGTATAAATGATCATGCAAGACCACACTACACATTTTGTTTATGGTTAGTTGTATAAATAAATACTTTCTAAATGTAACTTTTAAAATAGGGATATAAATGTTTGGGGGAAAACAGTGATGGTTATAATAGGTTTTATTAAATGTATAAATGACATACCAGCGCACACTACACATTTTGTTGTGGTTATATAATTAGTTTTTAAATATAAATTTTAAAATAGGGTTATAAACTTTTTGGGGGAAAAAGCGATGATTGTGTTATTAAATGTATAAAGTAAATGATTATTCAAGCACACATTTCACTTTTTAAAAAATATTTCCTGGTTTATTTTTAGAAAAAATTAAAGGGTATTCCCAGATATACGTTACTCTTTGCTCTGTTTTGTTAAAATTTGGATGACATAGGACCCAATTTGTATAATATGAGTGTAAACATAATAAATTTAATAGTTCAAATAAATAATTACAACCATAGTCATCTAACCAGATATGTAACTTTTTGTGAATATAGATAGTGTTTGGTATGTAAGCTTTGTGAATATGCTTTTGGTATATCCCATTATAGTCATCATATATAACTGAACAGCTACTGTTCCTGGTTTTAATTCCGATCTGATCTGGATTCCAATTGGAAGTGTTATTAAACCTGGACTTACTCATGCATGACGATGCAAAGACCCCAACTGAGAACTGAGTGTTTTAGTAGCCACACCCATAATTTATATGGAGCTTTTAGTCACAAATGTGTGTCACTGCCCAGTTCCAAGTGTGCAGTAAACAATCCATATTGTGACACAATTTCTTTTTAAATAGGCCTACACTGTAGGAAGGTAAATACTGTAGTGTGACATTAAATACTTGTAGTTGGAACTATGATGACGAATACGTTCTTCTATGTCAACCTTAACCAATTTTATTGTACTTAGCAAGAACGATTTACTATTGTGATGACTTTTTTTTTTTTTTTCCTGTTTTGCAGTATAACCATTCTTCCTGTTTTGCAGTATAACTGTATTTTGCACTTACTCTGTAATGGGTGATTTTTAAAATTGTAATTTTCTTTCAGCCTAACAGCCTACTCCATCAGGTCTTTCCTTCACCTTCAGATATAAATCTAAAAAGAAAGCCCTTATATATATTTTTAATTATGTTCACTCTGGATACTCCATCTGTAAGATTGCTTTGCCAAATGTATCTCCAATTCATAACATAATTTCCATCAATTTGTAACATGAACATTCACTCATCAGCATTATATTGTTTTTATTTATTTATAGAATTTGTTTTGACAATTTTGAGTATTACTCATCTCTTTTGTTTTAAAAATGTTTTCCTGTAAAACTATAATGTGGGATTGTTGTTAAGCTCTGTCAGATTATCCAATTTTAATTTTAATTTTATCCATATATAGTCATGATGTACCTATATATGGTGATGATGTGATGTCACATGACCATATTTAGACACTGTATATCACATGTATTTGTCAAATAAAATTTGATAGTCTAGGCAGGGCTTTAATGATTCAGTGATTGTTTATAAAGCTCCCTGTTGTGTCCCCATTGACCTTGCCCACTAAGCCATTTTGAATGATATTTGATTGATCTTTTAAAAGTGTGATGGTAGTTTGTGAACCATTGCACTCAGACACAGGAAGGGCTTATGTGACAATGTGTTCCCATGAAACATAAAGGTTAAAAATCAGCAAGTTTTCAGCTTTTAACCAAAGTGTATATCCTTTCCTCCTTTTTTTTTATCTTTAACTAAAATAATAAATAAAAGTTTGATATAATCATCATCATCAAAATATCTAACCATATAACCCAACTTATTTAGAGCTAATTATAGATTTTAAGCTTAACATAAAAATATTTTGGGAATTTTTCCAGAATTATATTGGAACATGTTTCTAAATTTGTTACTTTTGTAAAGTTTGCTGAATCCGTATTATTATTATTAAATGTTTATTATTGGTATTAAATGTTTGGAAAACCTCCAATTCATTTGATCTAATCTATGAAATGTAATAGGAATAGTTACTGGTGGTTATAGTATTAATTATTTCTGTACAGTAGATTTTTTTTTCTGTTGAAATATTTCTTTATGTGTGTATGAACAGAAGTGAAACCCATTCCCACGCACATAGCTAATAATATTACAAGCATTAACTGCGTACTTATCTTGCATTGTTGTCTTAATTCCCATTGTTAGTGTATAATAAAGTAGGTTTAAAGTCGTTGGGCTTGTTAGTTATTCACCATTGTGTGCTGGTCAGGAATTCCAGTCATTTGTACAGTAGTGCAGTACTACGTGGTACAGAAAAATACTGTTGTGATGTTGGGTGTGGGCATAAAAATATCTTAAATTTATCATCAATAAATTTCTTTTTCACAAAATAAATTGCAAATACAAAGTAATACCAATGTTGTATTATACAGATTAGTACTAGCTACACTCATTATGTCTTACTGTTTCTCTCTTATAAATTTTGAAGTTATAACTCATTTAAAAGGAACAAATAAGTGGTTAACTTTTACAATAAAATACTGATCAAACTAAATTCACTGATTTATTAAAAGACCAAATAGTCAAAAATTCGCAAGTTCATTACCAGCCATTGTAGGGTGCTTTCTAAAAGAATATAGGTACTATTTTTGAGGATTGTGTTTTTCTGTCAGTTTTTTAACGATTTTTTTGTATATACTGTATTTACTTCATAGACTGCCGATTCATTTTTTTTGCAGTACAGCAGACACCAAAAATCTGAAAGAAAATTTTACATAAAAATGATGAAGACTAAACTAAAGAATTAGTAAGATTAATACAAACAATTGTAAAGTTTGACATGGGGGTAATAAACTTGTGAATTTGTATTTAATTACAGGTTGAGTTAGCACTATGGGATACAGCCGGACAGGAAGATTACGATAGGCTTCGACCGTTGTCATATCCAGACACCGATGTTATTCTCATGTGTTTTTCCATTGACAACCCAGACAGTTTAGAAAATATCCCAGAGAAATGGACACCTGAAGTAAGTTGATGCCTAGTTTATGAAAATGGTTGTTGATAATCAATTGAATACTAGTTAGGCCAAAAAATAATTGTTGTGTTGCCCTTAATTGGGAAAAATCGAGATTGTCGGTTGGTCAGTTTTTTTTTTTTTTAGTAAGACTGTACCTGAAGTAGGATAGGCCTCAAACTGCATTCCCTATTATGAGAACCCTAGGCCTCATAGGCACCGCAATAGAATGATGGCAAGCTTGCCAAACAAAAAATATTCAAAATATGACGGAATAAATACTAACCCAGTTTATATTGAAGTAAATTTAACAAAAATAAAACATCAAATAATTTGTGTATCCGATGCACACAATCACTCACAGGCAGGTCATCGAGCATAACCATACTATGGCTATGAAAAATGTCCAAACAAGCGCCCTCTATGTAATACAATCAAAGTAAACTTGGGAAAAAATGTAAGAAACTTTCGTTCATAGTTGGCCGAGCCTAAAATGTCTAGCTATGTACCGACTTTTTTGAAGCGATGGCTAAGCCTGTTTTTATTTATTGTCAAATATACCATAAGGTAATGAATACGATTTTTGATTCAAACAACCACTAGTTGTACAGTAGTAAAGAATAGGCTAGGCCTAGATCTGGTCGTGGCTTGACAGCTCAGCGCGAGAGAGCCAAAGATGTGTGCATACATTGTCGAGCTCAGTTCTCAAAATTATGCCTTCTATTTTACCGATTTTGTTTGTGCATCTATGGCCCATATTTTTTTTTTTGCCTTATACATTTTGTTTGGGTAAAGTTTAGTTAAAGCAAATCATGCACTTTTAATGGGCTGTGGTTAACACTGTTTGTCAGCATAAGTGTAGCAAGGTTAAGGTTGTTGTATTCAAGTTTAGCTTTGGTGTCTGGTACTGAGAAAGGAAGAATATTTATTTTTCCCTTTTCCTCTCAGATAGACTCAGTGCAGTATCATCAAGCAACAGAAAAAAAAATATGTTTATCATCTGAAACTTTGATTAACACTTTAATATCACCTTTCAAAATCTATTTCCTCGTTAGATGTGAAAGTTTACTCGCCTTTAATATATATACAAGACTTTTGATATTATTTTTATTACTTTTTTCAGGTAAAACATTTTTGTCCAAATGTTCCAGTAATTCTGGTTGGCAACAAGAAAGATTTGCGTAATGATGATAACACCAGAAAAGAATTAGCAAAGATGAAACAAGAGCCTGTAAAAACTGAAGAGGGGCGCGCCATGGCAGACAAAATACAGGCATTCCAGTACTTGGAATGCTCAGCGAAAGCCAATGAAGGTGTACGAGAAGTATTTGAGACGGCTACGCGTGCTGCACTTCAGGTCAAAAAGAAGAAGAGGCCAAGGTGTCGAATTCTCTAATCTGTTTGAAGTGCTCTACTTTTTTTTTTTAAATCGCATCCAACACACAAGTCGCTGAGGCGTATTACTGATACATTGCCACGAACGGCTTGCGGATCTTTTTCCATGTACACAAACATCCCAGTTTCCATTTTGTCGCGTGGCCATTACAGGACTGAACAGTAACTGTTGGAATGTTTCCAAACTGGGGGAATAGTGTCCTTATCATGCGAGGCTACAAAATACTACTAATCCTGATTATAATTAATAGTCTTTTCTCCGAGGGGATATCTGTTCTCCGAGGGTATAGCTATGTGGTATTTGCTGCTCTAACTGCTAGAGGCATAATCAGTTTATTTTGTAGTATGTGTAACTGTGTGTATGATTAAGCTACAGTAAATGGATGCATTGCAGGGACCATATCCTAATGGTTTAATTCTTGTGTAAAATGTAGGATAATACTTTCATGTGAAATGTAATCTTAGTTATGGATCCTTGAATCTGCGTGCTTTTTTTTGTTTTTTTTTTTTTGTTGAGGTTCTCATACAATTTTTTGAAATGTTCATATCAAAACAATACTGTACACTTTTTGTTATAACCCAGATGTCTTTGTATTGTTACTTTGTTGAACCGATGATTAATAATAGATCAATAATTTAATTTCTCTTTTTCTACCGATGTTATTTAATATCTTGAATTAATTTTTTGTCAAATCACTTAAGGAAATGAAATTATTAAAGTTGATGTATCCCCTTAGAAATCTAGATTATTCCAATGTAATATCAAATCTAGTTTCCCCTAAAACAAATTTCAAATATGAAAGGCACACAACATTATGGTGTTGTTTATTGAAGTTGTAGTAAATGAGACAAAAAGTAGTAGTTATAGTTCATAATTTGTTTTTGTAACACTGAGTCTTGTAATCAAATACTCAGTGTGTTTGGTTTACGTACAATAGAATGTCCCACACGTACACATAAGCCGGTGGGGTAGATTACTAACTTAAATTGGTATCTCTTTTGTTTTTTGTACAGATAACGAATGCAGCCTGTGTGAAAATGCACTATGATCCTTGTGGATATTTACCTTATCCATGTGGATATTTTTATTATTGTGTATCAAGATTCTAAATCTCTTACTATTATTATTATTATCATTATTATTGCCGTTATTATTTTTATATTGTCATTTAATACAGGAATATTAGTATGGAAGTAGTAAGTGTCGTAAAACCTGGTTTAATTTTATTGGTGAATTAAATCGTTTGCCAATGACAGTGACTGGAGTTGTAGGGTTTGCTACTGAGGCTGATAAAACAACCATAAGCTGGTGAAGGCATGGAAAACGATCTCCAGTTTCATTCATTGGGAATATTATATATCATGGCTAACTGCCTTTTAATTTGCCAATGTTTTAAACAGTCTTTGTTAATTTGGTAATTAGCTAATTAATAGCAAAAATAGTGTCTTATAACACACACCAACATTCATCGATATTATTAAGTGGCCCATGTTTGCGGGAATCTTATAAACTTTACTGGCAATATATTGCCTGTTATTAAGATTGTTGTAGTCAAAAATATTTCAGCCTGTTCCCAGTATTCTGTGTGAAATTAAACGTCAAAAAGATATGCTTACTTCCAAAATTGTTGTCTTGTTTCCTACTTCATGTCTTCATTGTTTTTTAACAATTTGTTATATTTTTATTAATACTAGTACAATCCAGATGGGGATTGGCGGCAGGAGCTTGCATTCCGTCCGCCACATAGCAGCAGAAAAAAGTCTTCCCAAAACGTCCAACTTACCATAGTTTTGTGATTGCGGCTCTGTGCACCACACAATCATCATTATTGTTGTGTCCTGTATTTAGTTAAACCGGCTTCAAATTTAGCTAGGTGCCACTTGAAGTGAACATTAAAGATTTTTCTGAAGGTGATGTGCGTGAAAACAGCATGAGGGTAATTGCGTAACAGTAACGACTTGACATTGACAGTGTGAGAGCAACTGCAACAGCGTGACAATAGCTGCGTGAAAGTAACAGTGTGTCAGGAACAGCCCAACAGTATCAATGTGACGGTAACAGCATGACGGGAGCAGAGTGGCAAAAGCAGCCTTAAAGTAACAGCCTGATGTTTACAGCATAATGGAAACCGTGTGGCGGCAACAGCATGACTAACTTCATAACAGTAGCAGCATAGCAGTAGCAGCATCGCAAGAGTAGCATCAAATTATACTGCCTGATGGTTACAGTTAATGTGTGTGAGAGTATCACAGCTGAGTCCCACTACAAAGTGAAACTCAAATGGTGAACGAAATGAAGTAAAGAACTACATTATTAGAATAAACTGGAGAATTAAAAACACAACTGTGAATTATGGTCCCCACACTTACTACTACCCTACTTAGAGCTCTAAAATTTCTTACACAACTTGCCGAATCCCCAAGATAAGCAACATGTAACTCCTGTGTTAAACTCCTGACTTCACAACTGAAAGTGATTGACCATACGTGAGATATTCATAACAATGCAAAATACCAATGATTGCTAGATATGAATCAATCGCATGTATAATATGTTTTGTAATAAATAAAGCCATAAGGAAAATGCTTATATTCAGTTTAAAAAACGAGTTTGGACATATATCTGTCTCTTATACACATCTAGATGTGTATAAGAGACAGCATTATATATATATATATATATTAAAAGGCAAAATACTGAAAAACGAACAATGCTGTCACGGTGGGAAAACAATGGCTGGCTCTCAACATCTAAAAGGTAAACGTAAGTAAACAGCCAGAAACAGAACCGCTTTGTAATAATAATACTATGTAACGGTAATGAATATAGTAGTCACATGCGTAACATGTTGATTTCGGAAGCACTAAAATTTATTACAACGAATATTTTCGACTACTCCTGCAGACTTCGACAATGCTTGACATAAAATGCTTTCATTGGAATATTGACAATGTATGCCCATATGTAGTCATGATGTATACCTATATATGGTCGTGGTGTGATGTCATCATGGCCATATTTAGTTTTGTCCTGTGACTTTCTTGTGGATTGGCGTCTATGAATACTGTATAACGATTGAGTTATGCTTTAGATTGGAGGCGCTACAAAATGCTAACCTGGTTTCAACTCATGGACCGCGAAAAAATGTTGACCAATTTTCCCCCCTGGACGTTTGAATAAAGATTGGTGCCTATAATAGCTTCAACAATATCAGAACAATAATTTAGTTGTAAAACTCGGGACATGGCAACAGCAGCAGGAAACGCCTAATGATTGATAACATTTTAGTCTTTTTTTCTTTTTTTTTTTCACTGAACTTGTAATTTAAACTGTATTTTTTATTTTGTTATTAAGTTGAACGCACCACTCTTGTGTGTCCTTATCAAAGGTGTGTATGTTCGCAAAGTAAATACATCTTCATGAGATTATTGCTGAATATTAAGAGAGGTGATAGTGATGATATTTAGACAGCGAAAACCAGGATTTAAATAAAAATAATTGACTCACAAGTGAAGTAAATTCCCTGATTTCGTTGCGAAGCAATCAAAACTGATTAACATTGACCTAAATATTTCATAATAATTATTACTTGCGTGCGTAAAATAATACGGATTATTACCCAAAATTTAATCAACAACCGTTATTTCGAATGATATCTAATTAATTATGTATAAGCGAAAGTGTCTCTTCTAGCATAGTTCAAAAAATTCAATGCTATGGAAATAATGTCGAACAAGCTTTATTCAAACATAATCGGTATTTCATGATCTATGGGTACCATAGGCCTAATGTAAAACCTAGCCGAAAAACGACTAGGTGAAAAATAGTCAAATTTGGTTTAAAAAAATAACGAGAAAAAAAAATAAAGAAGGCTGCTCACGGTTTTTGTCTAGTCAATATTGGACGATTTTTACCCTTCCGTTTCCCATGATTTTATGTTCCGTGGCTTGTGGCACTTGCGAAGTTGCGGATCAAAGTATAGGCTACTAATCGTGTGTGAAAATATCGGTTCCACTTAATTCGGATTCTGGGATAATTTAAAACATTTAAAATGCTAAGAAAATGATTTTGGGTACGAAAAGCGACTAGGTTAAAAATACTAATCTCGGGAAAAAAAAAACACAAAGGGTGAATCATGGTTTTTGTCGGTTTTCATGCTATGTTGAGGCTGAGAAAGAGTAAAGAATTGAATTAAACTGGATAAAAAAAATAGAAGGTTAATATGGACCAATAGTATCTAAAAACCGAAAAGTCCACTGATTAATCTCAGATAAGAAAGTAGAATACGTACTCAAAGTATTAAAATGCACGCCATCGTGTTGGGATTCAATATTTCCACATTAATTGCCATCGTCAGGAATGATGATGACATAATGAATGTCGATATATTGAATCCCAACACGATGGCGTGCATTTCAATACTTGGAGTAAACGATTAAGGGTTTCTAAGAAACATGAAAATACCGATTACTCTATGTGACGTCACAGAACGGAAAACCACCGGGAATAGAAGGTCGAAAAACCGCCCAATTCGACAAAAACATTGAGCTTTGTCCTATTTTCGACGCTGGACGTTTATTATTTTCATGAATCAGCAGGAAAACGACTAGGTCAAAAATTAGCCAATTTTCGAAAAAAAAACGCAAAGTGTATAGCACACGATTTTTTTGGGACCATTTCTTAACCCCGCCATTTCCGATTGTTTTGTGTTCTATTACCACCGACGGATCACAACAATACTCTGCAGGTTCACAATGGCACTTGAAACCAAGTGTTGAGCTTTAATAATGTTAAATCTTATGATATTCAATTCGGTCTACGTGTCCGAATCTGGGAAAATTAAATGCTAGGACTGAAACTTTTAAACGCTTAGAAAATAATGTTTAACAAGGTTAAATCAAACACATTTGGTATTTTCATGATCCCTAGGTACCACAAGCAGATCCGTCGAAACCGCACCGGCCGAACCACTTTATTTTCATATTTTTATTACTTTAAATATATATATATATATAACAGTAGATAA